GCATACTGCAGCATCAATGTCCCATACAAAATCAGTCAGATAATGTGTGTGCATGTGTTTTACAGATATGTTAAAGCCTATCTCTTGCCAGACAAGTCAAGTCAGAGTAAAAAGAAAACTTCAGTGAAGAAGAAGACGCTAAACCCAGTCTATGACCAGACACTCCGAGTGAGACGCTCCCTCATTTGCATGTTACATAAAGTGGCAGCCTTCACAGGAATCTCCTATCTGCCTTTTGTCCTTCAGCTCTTCTCCATGCACCCTGCAACGTGCACTACAGCCACTTTATCACCAGTTTTAAAAATGTCCCTCTGATAAATCACAAACTGTAAAGTTTACTTTTTGTATCTTATAGTGACGGAGAACTGTAGTTTTTCCACTGGCCATATATCCCCATAAATGTAGGGCCTCATAATATTTGTCCTGTTGTGTGATGTATGTCTGATTCTGATTTTCATCTTTCAGTATAAAGTGAGGATTGGGGAGCTGCGGAGTCGGACTTTGAACCTGTCTGTGTGGCATGCCGAGCCCCTGGGGAGGAACATGTTCCTGGGGGAGGTGGAGGTGGCGCTGGGCTCCTGGGACTGGACCAGCACTCAGCCGCTGTGGCAGGATCTGCAGCCTCGGGTAGGGAAAAGCAGATATGAATGGCACACGTGTCTCATAAATTAGCATGTCTGTTTGAATACTTCTAGACTAATTGTTACCAAAACAGAATGACGCCTGCATTGACATTTATTTTCTTAGTGTCCATAACAGCAGTTTTAGCAGCTTTGTTAGGGAGACAGAATACAAGGAGGAGTGTCTCTTGTGTCTGGGAGAACTGAAGGGAGAGGAAGACATGCTGTGAATTTCAACTAAGGTTTTATGTAACCTTAGTCTCTTCCTGCTTTCACAACGCTGCCTTTATTCTGACTTTTCTCTTCTTTCTTTGTCTTTTCCATTACTTTTTTTCCTACCTCCCCAATTCGCCCACCATCTCAGGTTCATCTGAATCCAGAATCCATTAGCAGTCGTGGGACCATCATGCTCTCTATTAAGTTCGTCCCAGAAGGATTTGAGGGTGAGCAGAAAACATATATCATCACTTAATCAATCAAACTTTGTATAGCACCTATAGTGAGTGTAATAAATGTAAAATGATAAAAATATATATAAAAAGGGAATGAAACTAATACATGAAATAAATGAATAAACCACAAATAATAGCTATAAGATATTCTAATCAAAAGCCAGACTAAAGCGATGGGTTCTAAATTTGCATTTAAAAACAGTAATCAGCTGCTCTCAGATCCTCAGGCACACTGTTTTAACGGCTCAGAGCATAAAAACTAAAAGATGCCTGACTAAATGTGTTTTTGTCCTGAACTTTGGAAAAAGAACTAAAAGGCTCAAAGTGCCAGAGGACTTCAGAGGTTGTACGGGCTCATACACTGGAAGCACGCCAGACAAGTAGGCCAGTCCAAGACCATGAAGTGCTTTAAAAATCACTACAGAACCAGACAGGCAACATACTGTATGTAGGGGCTTTAAGACAGGCGTGGTGTGTTCTTTCTTTCCAGTCCTGGTCAGCACTGATTTCCAGTAGTCCAGTCTGCTGAATATAAAAGTGTGCATCTCTTTGTATTACTCAGAAAGCAATCTTGCAGCAATTTGGTGACAGACCTCACATGAGTCTTAAAGTTAAGCTCTGAGTAAACGATGATACCAAGATAGATGGATGCACATTATGTGCTACCTCACTACCGCAATCACCTGAGTACCATACATTCTGTGTGTGTGTGTGTGTGTGTGTGTGTGTGTTTTAAGGTGGTGGTATGCCACTGACTGGAGAGCTTCACATCTGGCTTCGAGAGGCTCAGGGTCTCCTGGCCAATAAAGGAGGCGCCATAGACTCATTTGTTAGAAGGTGTGTCAGCTCTGCATCATTCTTTGTCTTCACTTACAGTATTTGCCATGATTTTATTTATAGAAGCATTTTAAGCATGCATCATGTTATATAGTCTATCATCTGATTTGTACTAACTGTGTTGAATTGCAGGATCACTGTTGAATTACATCTGGTAATCTAACAGATGGAGTCTCTCTCCTGAATGTAGCCTTGAAATCTAAATGAGTTTTGCAGTGCACATAGAGAGTTTACTGTTTAAGATAAGCTTTTAAACACAATCAAGTGTACCCTTATAAACTGTAATCATGACCAGATTTTTATAATCTCATTTAACTGTGTACATGCACCCATAATATCAGTTGTGAAGGAAATCATGTGAATTTAACTTACAATCATTCATAATCCTACTTTAAAACCTACAAGCTACATACTCCCAGATGCTAGTCAACAGAGCGGTCAGAAGACACGGGTGGTGAAACACTCCATCAGCCCCATCTACAACCACACCATGGTGTATGATGGCTTCCACACCAGCGACCTGAGAGAAGCCTGTGCTGAGCTGACTGTCTGGCACCGTGAAGGGTTAAAGACACACGCCCTGGGAGGGATTCGTCTGAGCTGTGGAACTGGTGAGTGTATATTATAATACTTTTATTTGTATTTGCATTAAAAAAGAACATTGTTTCTAGCACAACAGTTTAGCTCTTATGTACAGACAAATTCTCCTTCAGCGCTTCACATCCTCATATATTACTGATTTATTTTTTCTTTTGAAATCTGGTGATAAGCAGACATTACTTATATAGGCTGTAGCGTTTTGGTTGTCTTGCTAACAGATAGCTGTTGTCGCTTCAAAAATATAACATGCATCACATCCTGTACAGCTAGGTGCTCTTCTCAGAAGTGGGGACCTGCAGGTGTTTAGAATATCAGAATTAATACAAGCTTACTTGAAGCAGAGAGAGGCTGAAACAGCTGGCAATAGAAAGTTGGATCATTAACTGAAATAGGAACACTGGAAATTGACATTTTTATGCAACAGTGAAAAACGGTTGCTTGTGGGGCTCTTTCCTGTTTCAGGGGAAACTTTTTGACAGGTAGTGTTACTGTAGGTCACAGTCCTGTCTCTACCTTGATCTGATAGCATCTTTCAGTACTGGGGGTATAGTCCTTGTACAGTAGATACCAGCCTAGTCTATACAGATGATTTTATCTTATTTGTTATCCAGAAGCACTCAGCTCAAGCTTCTGCTGACAATGTGTGTTCTTTAAATGATTTTACTCACTCATGTCAGTCACTAACAAGGAGATTAATGAAGCTCAGACATCTCCTGCTAAAATTCGACTCTGACAACACCTCCTCATTAATTTGTGCTGAGCTGTGAATAGAGTTTCAGTGTGATCTTGTGGGTGCTGTGACATTTTGTAGTTGTGTTTGAAGGCAGCATTTTCTGCATCAGGGGAGGGGACATGAAACCTGGTGGTTGCATGGTCTGTTTATTTTGAAATACCTGTTGGTATTTCAAGCATTTCAGATGGTCATGTCATCCGAACAAGGTCATTTCGAGGTTGCCAGAGTGTGTGTGTGTGGTGCGTTGCTTCCCATATTGGCTTGTTGGCTGTTGATCTCTAGTATCTAGAATGTAGGATAGAGTAAAGTTGGTACCATAGTGAACTTGTACATGTGAGGAATGTGGAAACAGTTATGATTTAAGTTAATTTAGTTGTTGTGAAGTAGTTTACCTTAATGTATAGCACTCAAGATCAAACCACAGACAGAGTCTCATTGTGAGTTTCCTGAAGGAAGATGTTGTCATTGCAGTGGTGGGAAGTGATGACTTGTAAAGAAATTTTCAACATGAAATTGTAGTATTCAGGGTTGTGTTTGTTTCTTGTCACTGCTTAACATTTCTTGAGTCAGGTATATTCTCTTGGATTTACTTATCACAGTGAGCCATGAACATTGATACATTTCCTGTTTTTTTGTTTTTTTTTAATGGTAGGTCTGAGTTATGGTGAGGCTGCCAGTTGGATGGATTCCACAGAAGAAGAGGTTGCTGTGTGGACCTCCATGATCGAAACCCCAAACCAGTGGATTGATACATCACTACCAATCCGAACTAACCTCACAGACCGTTCCAAATGACTTGGACACACCTTGCACATAAACATATTCATATGCATGTTCTAATAACAGTTGGACTGAACAGACACTTAGCACATTAGCAAATTTAAACGTTGTCAGAATTATACACATTCATGTTATTCTTGGTTCGGACAGACAGAGGAATCAGTGGTGTTGCACTATTGTTGTGTTAATGGTGTAGATCAGAAATATTTCAGAAATGCAGAAAAAAATCTCTGCATTTCAGATGTTTTACTTGTATGGTTTGGTTAAGTCTGTTTTCTCATTTGACTAAACTTCATTTGTAAACCAGTGTAGTTGCATAATTATATATCAAACCTAAACTTGTTAATGATTTACTGTTCTGATATAAGAGGAAAATTTCCCCTCATATTTAACAACCCCAGAAAGATTTCTAATTTATTATATCAATAAACATAGGTCTAATAACTTTCACCCTGAAAGAACACATATTTTGAATATTCAGATAATTGTAGATATGAGATTTAAAGGCATTATTACGCCTACTGTAATTGGAGAGGACAGAGAAGGCCTGCAGTTGCATGAATTCAGTTTTTCCTTTTGATGGATTAGCTGGCTACCATCTTGTGGTCAGACTTTGTACTTGTTCTGTATTATTTTCTGGCAAATTACACAGTAAATGAGATCTAGAGCACAGAAAGAGAAGATAATGTTGTGTGAATTAAACTATTTTTAATAAAAGCAAACTTTTACATCGGGTATACACCTTCCCTTTAAACGATTGTGGAGTAAGGCACTTATCATGAGTGAGACCTCCTGTCCAGCAGATGGCAATCGTAACATTTCTGCTTGAAGCTGGACTGCGACCGGAAGTGGAGATATTTGGCTTCCAAAATAAAGTCTCGAGAAGGAAGCCTATGGTTGTGTGTTTCGGGACCATCGACATGGCACTTGTAATTAATAAAATAATTTAAATATAAGGTAACATGGGTTGCATTGTTTTGTTGTCTTTAAGCCAGACACTCCAATACTATTGTTAATGCCGTGCTTAATCAATGTAACGCCCATTCAAAGTTTTCTGCGTGATGGTCTGTGTGTTGAGTAGTCTTATAAGGCCTTACAGACTCGACCTACTAGTAAGCTTTAAGGAGAGACAACTATAAAGCGAAACATTTACCTTCTTTAACTAGGATAAAGGGGTCGCTTAATATCATGCAGTAGTGAAAGGTGAATGCATTGGTTGCCATGGCGTCAGCATGTCAACATCGCCCTTATTAGTGTTGTCTGTTCAGCGTACTACTGTTAAATATTAGCAATGTCTGCCATGAGCAGAAAACTAGTACAAACTCTCGCAGAAACAATCTCAAAACAAGTGGAGCACTGTAAGTATTCAGTTCATGTTTCTGTTGTGTATGTATCCCTTGCTAAACTAAGCTAGTCTGCTATGTCAGTAAGTGCACTTTCCGCTTTGCGCAAACTTGGAACTAGCTAACTTCCATAGTTTTAGTTAGCTACTATAAATCCCCAAAATGTCATACAAGATAATTAATATTATAGAGCATAATATATCAGCCATTATTCCTGTGAATCTAGTCAATAAAACAGAGGTTGAGTGCCTTATCCGAGAGTTTAAAGTGCTGCTGGGGGAGCCGGGAATGGGCAGAGCCGTGAACGGCCTGGACAGAGTGAAGTTCAGGAGCATTCTGCACAACATCTTCGGGATGACCGATGACATGATCTTGGATGGAGGTATTCGCTCTGTCGCTGATTTATTTAAAAAACAAACTATGCTTGTCCCACTTTGATAGTGTCAACAAGTTTTGCTGGATAAATTATTACATATGTGGAAATACAAAAATGTAAATGTTGCTGATTATTTGTCCCCTAGTCTTCAGGACATTTGACAAAGACAACGACAGCTTTGTTAGCATGAAAGAATGGATTGAAGGACTGTCTGTTTTCCTTCGAGGGACGCTGGATGAAAAAATAAAGTGTAAGCCCCTTTAATGATAAAGAATACACAAACACATGACAGGTCAGAGTTACAAACTATTATCCGGATAATAACTCTTGCCTTTTGCATGGTGCAGACTGCTTTCATGTGTACGACTTGAACAATGACAACTATATCTCACGGGATGAGATGTTTCACATGTTGAAGAACAGTCTCATAAGACAGCCCACAGAGGAGGACCCCGATGAAGGAATCAAAGACCTGGTGGAGATCACACTCAAAAAGATGGTACGGGGATGACTGAAGCTCCAACATCATATGCTGCCTGCACAGCTTCCTCAAACCATCTTGAAATGCTTGCTTCAGAGGGAAATTAATATGTTCTTTCCCAGTTCCCTTCTTAATTCAGTTTAATTTATTACCAACTTTATAAAAGAGAAGCCAACCACAAGCTTATTGCTAATGTTTCCATTCACAGGACCATGACCATGATGGCAGGCTGTCTTTGGCTGACTTTGAAAAGGCTGTGAGAGAGGAGAACCTATTACTTGAAGCTTTTGGAACCTGCCTCCCTGACATGGCGGTAATCATAAATGAAAGGTTCATGAGAAATATGGTAACTTATATTTCTAGGTCAGAGGGTCTCAATCTTACATTCTATTTTCCTTTCTTTTCAGAGTATTGAGGCATTTGAGCAGTGTGTATTTCAGAAGCAGTTGTGATGCACAATGTGTAAATAAAATGAGCTGCCATCAGAAATAGAAATCATGAAACTGTTTTCTATAGTATCAACAATTTCTGTAAAAAGTCTAAACAAGACAGATGGTGTAATTAAATCCGGCGACGTGGTTTCTTCTTTTTCTCCACTGGTTTGATGTCAGAAATGGATTCCACCTGAACAAGATGACGAGGAATTTTAGTGGTATCAATTATGACATCTACACTACAATGAAGAATAAATTTTGTGCTAAAATGCTAAAAACAAATCTGATTATGGTTTACCTGTTTCAGTGTGTTCCTGATCAGGCTGACAGTTGTGTTCAATGACTCATCCTCCATATCTAGTTTAGGTGTTTCAGGTAGTTTTGGCCCAATCAAAAGTTCATTTTTTCCAGAAACATCAGTTAGTGAGTGCCCTGCAGCCTCTTCCATTTTGCGTTTCCTGTTCTCCAAGTTTGTGGACCTTGGAACAAATCTTACTGTGGAAGCCTGATTTAGAGTCAGTGTGTGCTCTGTGCCTCCATTTATGCCTGAAGAGCTTTGACTGGAGCTTGAACTTTGCCCTGGTTGCTGTTGTGTATTGATTATAGCAGTATGTAATGTCCCCATTTTGTCCTCTGTTAGTATATTCATATGTTCATTTTTACGTCCATAGTAATGATGCTCTCGTGGCGGTAATGGCAATAGAGGAAAGCTTGAATAAGGACTTATGTTTGCAGTCCCCGATGTGTTACCACTGTCAACTGTGTTGACTTGTCTGGTGATGATCCTCTCTGATGTCGTGGCTGTACCTGATGCTGTGGGTTCCTTATTTGTTCCCTCTTTTTGTTCATTTTCTCTTGCTTTGTAACAATATAAGAGATAAGAAAAATTAAGTTTCAATAACTCGTTCAAGTCTATTTGTCACAGCAATAAAACAGAGTACCTGACACAGGAAAAACATAGACATGGGGGTAATAAAAATGATGTAGGAAGACTAAGGTTTATGTGTCTACGTGTGTGAAGCTTTCATTAATAATGTTCTGTTCAGTGAACATACTGAGTGTATGACAGTTTCTTTTATAGTAAATCTAAATTTGATGTTATAATGCACCTTTACTCCGAGCAGCCCTTATTATGTAGCTTCTCCGGTCCTGTAGCTTTAGCCTGGTGTCTTCCACAGTCTCATATTCTGGGACATAGCACACATGCAACACGCCACCATAAAAACTCTTCTCATCCATGTGTCGTTTGGCTGCTCTGAAACAGAATTTTTAAGCTAATTACAAGGTGAACTCAATCTTGCCAGTGTAGTATAATGAAAAAGGGTAAACCATATCTTGCACCTTGCACTTGTGAGTTTCTGGAACTTGACAAGGTAGACCTCTGTGAACTCCTCAGCAGGATACTCATCCAGGGGTCTGTACTCCTCCACGGCTCCATACAGGGCACACAGCTGGATCAACTCTGTCATCACTCCAATGGCAGGGACCCCTTGGACCATGAGGTAACGGGACTCTAAGTTGATCGTGTACACCTGATAACACACACAACAAATACGATGGCACACGCTCTAGCCACAATGTCCTTATAACACTTAAGTGAGGTACCGCGAGAACAACAACAAAGCATACAAATAAATGCGACTAATGACAGCGGTTGTGTAGGATCATCACAAGAAGCCTAACGTTAAATATTGGTTATTGTTGTAGGTCTATATTAACTGAAATTCACAAGTACACACATGTAAAACTGCACTACGTTTTTTTTTTTTTTTGCTGATATTTAGCAAACTGGATTTTTTTTTTACCTTAACTGCTTTCGCTTTCCTTCCCTCCCTATACTTTGGTCGAGAAATGCATACTTTTCGCTGTTCGTGGTGTTTATAAACCTCTGGAACGTTCCAACAACCTGAACTGTTACCGACAGGAGCCTCCATGTTTTTGGAAACCATTTTCCGCTTGACACACTTCAAAATAAGTCCCTATCATCCTGTCTCGAATACGGTTGTAACCGCCTATCTATGTGTAATGTCTTATTTTGAAAAGTTGTGCAACTCAATATCAATTACTTTGGTCTAGCTGGATATTGTCAGAGCATATCGATCGACTAAGTTTGTTGCTCGTTTAACATTAGTAAAGCAACGTTTTTGGCATTTATAGAGTTTGTCAGATCATGTAAAATTATGTTTAACAATCAGGGAATTCAACCAGTAACTGTTGTTTTTAATAACGCAAAGAACTGCTTTCTTCACCTCCCCTTGAAGTTGATATCGAATCTCTCTCTGTATGAGGTAAGTTAGCTTATAGCTAGCTACACATCTGGCATTGTCTTCGACCTAACTACGATTAGTGAAAATATTGTTTGGTGAAATCGTGTTCAGGCAAAAAGGTTACTCTGTGCGAAAGCAGTGTATCTGACATTTATGGCTGTGTGTTGTTCGCTTCGTTAAAATGTATACTGCTTGGTAACTTATGCTACCTTCTAGTCACAAAAGTAGTCTGGGCTTATTAACGTGCTCGTTAGCATAAATAGATGTCAAAGAGAAGAGTACAAGGAGTTGACAGATGACAGGGTCCATCACATTGCCTGCTGAAGACAGCACTTTATCAATGGGAGGCTTCGTTTTGGGTTTATAACATTTTTTTTTATAACAACAACAGCTAACTACTATCGTTAATAATTATACTAAACTGTCTTATGAAAGAGGGCAATTGTGTGGTACTTAGTATATTTATTACTGGCTTCCACTTGGACTGTTTTATCATTTCCGTTTTCCTAGTAGTTCCTTTACAATCCCACTTGATGGTGACAAAGCATTACATAAGAAACAGAGCACTAGACTGAGTAAATGCCAGTGCATTCTTATAAATTACTGCACTGTCTTGTTGTAACTTATAAAGAACATTATTGTTCAGATGACAGTTATGTGATATCTGAAAGCACTTATATTAAACAGTGTCCATGACATTTGCACAGTACTTCTCTGTTTGGCTAATTCATCAAGAGTTATTGGCTTGTTGGCTGTCTTTACACAGTAATAAAACTTGTGTTAACTCTACCACAGATTTTTAGTTTGAGTTTAAGTGAAAAAGACCTGTTTGCTGGCAAAAGAGGAGGACAGCCATTACACAAATCTTTAATAAAGTACCATGGAAGCAAAAATGTGCTTTGTGTGTCTGTTTCAGAACCAGGCTTTGGAGTTGTCCTGGGGCCATGATTATCCAGTGTTCCTCAGCTGGACTCAGAATAGAACCTCCTCTATCCTTGACAGCTATAAAGTGGAACTGTGTCGACAACTGGGAGAGAAGCTGGGTCTGAAAGATGGAGAGCAGGTGGGATTCTGCAGTGAAGACTTTGTTTCCTACCTGATTTTTGCCTATATGACACAAATGGGAAGTCTTTTGACTGTTTACAGTGACTATTATTTATTGTCTAGACTGATTGGATGTTTGTATTTCCTCACTGGTTGTGTGCGTTTTCTCACAGGGCTTCTTGAAACCATGTCACAAGATCTCATCAGTGCATCAAGTGTTTGTGGAGCCACTGTCACCTGATGACTGGGAGATCTTGGTAGGCAACCATATTAGCTTACAGTAATGTTTAACCTTCTGTCTTTATATAATATACAGTTAATTTAAGTGCACCCTTTGATTACTACAAGTCGACTCATCTGGGTTTTGGCTTGTCACCCAAAACCACATTTAAGTAGCATTAATTTTCTGTTTCCTGTGACTGAAACCTCCAGGACCTTCACAGTGCTGCACTGGAGAAGCACTTGTTGGATCAGATCAGAGTGGTGTTCCAAGATGCTGTGTTTCCTGTGTGGGTAGACAGTCACACAGCCGTCTACATTCGAATAGGTCAGAGTTTATACAATAATTAGCTTTTATCAAATAATCTGTCAAGTGTGCCTCGTCTTAATATAATCCTTTGTTGTGTGATAATCCTAAGACATTGTGTTTTAAATGAGTAAAATCAGCCAACTAAAGCATTTGTTCAGCTTTTTTGGTTTGTTTTTTAGAATGTCTTGGTCATATTCATAGACTGAACACAGTTTGATTTGTTTCAAATTCTGTGCAGCTTCACTTTTGCCATCTGTGCGCTATGGTCGCCTGGAGCAATTCACAGAACTAGTTGTCTCTCCTAAAATCCGTGCTGGAATTGGTGACCCCAGTGGTTTTCTGGCAAGAACTAGTGAGAAACAGTATCTACACAAACAGCAGAAGTCGGATCTCTCTTCCCCTTCAGGACCATCATTTGAAAACATTTCTCATGTCCCACAGAATCACCAGTGGGGTGGCATAGCTGACCTGAAGACTCTTCTGCACTATATGATTAAGGGTACTTATGAACCTATGAAAGAGGTCCCGTCAGTACCTGACATCCCTGCCCTCCTCACTGACTCTATCTACCGAGTGTGTGGTGCACCTCCTGACTCTCTTTGCACCATATGCCCTGTTGCAACTGGTGTTATTCATTTATTTCCGTGGAGATATGGACAAAATTGTGGATTAAGCGGAGGTCAGCCTTCAGTGACTTATGGCTTACTCTCCCAAGTTCCTTCCCCTAAAGAAACAAGAGACAGAGCCAAGCAAGCCATGGAGAAAAAGAAGAATACAAGAGTTGCTAAAGCTGATGCCTCTGTAGATGGGGAGGAAATAAAAGAAGAAGACACTGTGGTGGTCAGGGTGGTGTGCCATGGTACTGAGAACCTACAAGTCAAACAAAGAAGTCTCAGTAAGGGAGTGATCCATAGTGGTAGAGTATGGGTAAGTATGCCCAACAGTGGTCCTTTATACTGGAGTTCATTGCTCTGCTGCTGTATAAATGGTAATTTCTTTAAAATTCAGATCCCACAGCCCCTGGCCATCAGGTTGAATATCATCCCACATTCAACAGTTAGGATTAAACCAGTAATATCAACTGTCAAAATAGCCACCACTATTCATCTACAGCCTCTAAAACCATTGGTGAGTATCCATTTGTTGTTACAGTGGGGTGTAAATGATGAAGTGTCAGAACATCTTATTTGTTAAATTTATTTTATCTCTTCCTGTTATGTCTGTATGATTTTAGACATCATCTCTTCAGCTTGAGGAGGATAAAGAGGAGATCCAGACAGCTCTCCTTGGTTGGCTGCACACTCGGAGTCATGAACCTTTAGCTTGTCTGACTGCACGGTCTGGCACCATCCTCCTACATGGAACTGATGGTGATTCATTTCTATACTTCTTTTACAAGCTTGTCAGAAGTGTACTTATAAATGATAGACAAATCTGTAATTTGCTTTGGAATAAAGTTCCCAAAAGTTTAAACATTAATGTAAAAATGCACATATTAAAATGACAACACATTGAGCTGCAATAAAATATCACTACCTTTTTTTTCTTATTTATAGCAAAGTTAGAGCTTGCTTTAACTGTGCTGAAACCAGAACCAGAGAGTGATTCTCCAGACCAGCTGTTTCTATTAGCACCCACTGTCATCCAGAAACAGAACATACTGGTATGCACATGCACTTATTGTATTCTGCCCTTCCGTTTTCCAATAGTTTCCACAAAAACATTTCCAGTTTCATGTTTTCTTTACATATTTCCATGCAGATGATGGATAACCTCTTATTTCCCAGAGGTGGTGTTTACAGTTGTCACTTTTTCCCATCTACAGGTAGACAGAGAGCCAGTAACCATCCCAGCTGTGAAAGCTGCAGCTGAAATGCCCAACTTAGAGCTTCCTCCCCTCAGCATTCTTAGGTAAGAGTGAGCCTGTGTGTAGTTTAAACAAGGATCTTTTGCAGAATTAATTTCTTTCTATATTTCTCACTCTTGTGTCTTTCTCCAGTGGGATCGATGAGCTTAGTAGAACTGGATTTGAGTTCATTTCCCACAGCCTACTGGGTGGTCTCCTCTCACAAGAGCTTGGTACCAGTGGACAGGGACTCCAAGGAGGAGCACTACTCATCACTGGTGCTAAGGTATTTCTCAATAGTAATAAGTGATATTATTTAAACACCGTTGCTCACAACACAGATATTTTTATTTCTGAGTAAATTTAAGTCTACGGTGATTTTGAAGAACTGATGTCAACAGTGCTAATTTGTCAGCATATGTTATTCAGATAGCAATGTAACTAAATTATTATTAATTTTGTTAAGTAGGTGATGTGTGCTCTACTGGCTTGTTTCATTTACAGGGCAATGGAAAGAGCACTCTGTCCCGAGCCCTGTGCAGGAAAGCTAGAGAAGATCTTGATGCACATGTGGAGGTGGTGGACTGCAAAAAACTACAAGGTTGACAAGAACTCCATAAACACACAGCACATAACAATAGTCTGATTGGTTACAGAACTTGGATTTATTTATTTTATTTTAACATTATAATGAGTGTTTTTTCCTTTTAGGCAAAAGGGCAGAAACTGTGAGACAGATGTTGCAGGATATTTTTGAAGAGGCGGAGTGGAGGCAGCCTTCAGTTGTACTTCTTGATGATCTGGATTATGTGACAGGGGCACCAACCTCACCTGAACATGAGCATGGCCCTGAGGCACTGCTGCAACAGCACATTGCACAAAGTAATCCGTTTTTTACATGTGTGAGGTTTTTTTTTAATGTCAAATGTATGATCACAGGCAGTACTTGTAATTATTACATGGCTTAATAATTCTTCTTTGTTGTGCTTGTAGGCCTGAAGGATGTTGTGGATGAAGTGGTGCTTCACTCCAGCCTGGTGTGTCTGATCATCACCAGCCAAAGTGAGCACACTCTCCACCCCTTTTTGACTGAAGTGCAAGGATCTCACTTCATCCAGGGATTTATACATATCCAGCCACCAGACCAGGTCAACACACACACACACACACACACACACACTGTTAACGGTAAAAAGTAGTAGTATAAAAGCTTGTGTGTTTTCCTTTTTACAGGCCCAGAGAGCAGACATCCTCCACCATCTGATCTTCAGGAAGCCCGGCCTGTCTGAGGAAACCTTACAGGCTTTGGACCTGGGGGCAGTTGCCAAGAAGACAGAGGGTTACACACCTCAAGACTTGGTGCTGCTGTTGGAGCGAGCTGTCCATGCCAGTACTGTAGAAAGAGGACACAGTGACCAAGGTAATAGAGACTTTGATTACATTACACCTAAATGTTGTAATTCTTAATGAAGTGTTGTTTTATACAGTATCACTTTCAGTTATTCTTTGAGGTCTTCATTCTTTATGTTGCTAATTAAGCTAATGCTAGTCTCCATGCCACTTTAACATAATATGTTTGCTCTCTATATCTGTCAGGTGTGTGTCTGTCCTTGAGGGACTTTGCACAGGCTCTTAAAGGATTCACACCTCCCTCATTGTGGGGTGTAGACCTCCACACCCCAAGTGGAGTTGGGCTGGAGAGGGTGGGAGGGCTGACCGAGGTGCGACAGCAGCTAATGGACACCATACTGCTCCCTGCTAAGGTATTGGTGCAACCAATCAGAAGATGGGTGGTTTTGGTTTAATACTAATGGAAATTACATCGGCTTAGTAATATGATAATGAGAAAACAACTATTATTTTTTAGAGTTTGTTATTTTCTGTTAAGTCACAGTAGTTGTAAAGATTTTTAATGCAGATCAGCAGAATGTATTGTCAAAATCTAAAATTCAAACTAACTCCATTGTACAATAATTGACTGTGGATTTTTGGTGTCTTACAGTATCCTGTCCTGTTCTCCAAACTTCCTATCCGCCATCGCTCAGGAATTTTGCTGTATGGAGCCCCTGGTACAGGGAAGACTCTGCTCGCCAAGGCTGTCGCCAAAGACAGTGGTATGAACTTCATCAGTATCAAGGTAGGCTGGACTTTGACTCAGACATTCAAGGAAAATACAGTGGGTGCATCCCAGTTCCCTTAAATGATTGTTCCTCAATTCTTGCTTGACCCAGAATTCCCTTATTGCTTTTTGGAGGTTTAGGGTTCAAAGAGGCTGCCTTGTGGAGACCATCCTTTGAAGAAGTCTTTAATGGAGTGACACACCCCCTTATTGGAAATCAGTTAGTGATTGGATGCTTCAAAGTGTGAACTAGATTTCTAAATAACATGTTTCTTCAATTTCCCTCTGCTCGCATCTTTTCCTTGCATCTTACATGGGCAGGACTAAAACACAAGGAAAAGACACAAGTGAGGGAAATGTGGATGCAGTTAAAGGAAGTGAGATGTAGCCACTGTCTTTCTTCATGAGAACAACACGTATCTTCATTGACACAGGATATTTACCTCTCCCCAGGGTCCTGAACTACTGAGCAAGTATATTGGAGCCAGTGAGCAGGGAGTCCGTGATGTCTTTCAGAGGTTAGTAAACATTTACATTCCTCCTGTCACTCTAATTGTGACTTTCATTGCTAGTTATGAGTAACATCCAAATGTTTATGGTTATTAGGAGTCCCAGTAACAAACAGTCATATAACTGGAATAATGTCCCTTCCATCTGTCTGTATTGTATTGCTGTCTGTTCCAGGGCACAGGCTGCCAAGCCGTGCATCCTGTTCTTTGATGAGTTTGACTCTTTGGCCCCCCGTAGGGGCCATGACAGCACAGGGGTGACAGACCGTGTGGTCAACCAGCTCCTCACCCAGCTAGACGGGGTGGAGGGACTGCAAGGTAGGTTGTATAGTAGTATGCTAGATACAGTATTATGTATTCTGTGTAATGACAATTTATTTTAATAGTTAACAGATTCTACTGGCATATTCAACTGATTCATTGCTGCTGGAATAGTCCAACATTCTGGGAAATATGCTTAGGTGAAAAACCAGAGTGTGAAGATGACTGTTTATAGACTGTACTGTGCCAGACTATTTCTTGGCTGAGAGTGATGACTTCAAGTGTTTCCACTGGTTGTCAGGGAACCTGAACTTAAATAAAGACTTCAAAAAGTGACTGTGCTTGTCCAAGAAACAGTCTGCACATAAGGTCATTATGCTGTTTTTTTATGCTTTGGGTTTTGTAAGGAGTAAACAAATGCAATATAAAGTGTTAAGTAGTGAGCTTTTAGATGTGCTATTGGGTGGATTCTGCTCCCACTTTCAGTTTTCATGCTAAGGTAACTGTCTCCTGGCTCTAGCTTCATATTTAATGAGCAGATATGGGAGTGGCTTTGTTCTTCTTATCTAACACTTGTCAAGAAAGAGAATAAGCATGTTTCCCAAAATGTCAAACTATTCCATTATTTCAAACAAATGACAATCCTTCACATTTGTATGTGTGTAGGTGTATATGTGCTTGCAGCCACCAGCCGCCCAGATCTGATTGACCGAGCACTGCTGAGACCAGGACGACTGGACAAATCCCTTTACTGCCCCCCTCCTGACTTGGTCTGTTGAATTAGAATCAGTCACTATTAATCATCAATGTGTAATTTTAATAGCACAACTTTTTTTTTTTTATTTGGTCCTTTCCATCTGTGTACAAAACTCTTTAATGAAGTAAAAATAGTAAAGATTCAAGACAGGTCTTTGGTATTGGATCCAACTCTTGACAAACTACCTCCTCTTGTGTCATTTTTTATTTTATTTTATTTTATTGCAATATGAAATAACACATCTACAAGACAAAGGGCATAACATAGAAGATGAGACAATAAACATTAACAAAAGAGACCGAGGAATTATTAAATTTGAAATAAAATTTAATTGTGCCACATTTCCAGGCGGCTCGTGTGGAGATCCTGAAAGCTCTGAGCACTGGCATGCCCCTGGCTGCTGATGTGGACCTGGAGCAGCTGGCTACAGTGACAGAGCAGTTCACTGGAGCAGACCTGAAGGCCCTGCTTTACAATGCACAGCTGGAGGCCGTGCACAACAGCTTGAGCATTAGCACGCCACATGTAAGTCTATTATATTTTCATAATGCCACTCCTGACGAGTGTATATGGGGTTACCCTAGGGCACAGTAAAATGGGAAGACAGAAAACCGTCCTTTAGTCCTTTTCTCCTTCAAAGCTAATTACACAAGATGTTTAGTATGCGTGATCTCAGCAAGGATGAGTTGCTCTATTTGTCACTCAAATCAGTTTACAACACAATTCAAATGATCCCCAACCACTGAGACAAAGCGCAACAGGTCATATTCTGAAAACCATGCCCACAGGGGACAAAAACAGTCCCTTGCTCTTCATAGCTGTCAAACAAAAAGTAAACTTTTGAGAAGACAAATTTGTGGCATTAGTAGGAAGAACAGGGAAACGGTGGGAACTTGACACTCAACTGTTTGTCAGGTCAAGTTTCCAAATGTCATTTTAGGTTACTATATTTCTGTAAGTTAAGCTAAAGTATTTTGACGTTATGAAGCTTGTGTTCTACATCAGAAAGCTATGCAGTAACATGTTTGCAAGTGCCTTAGCTAACTAGTCCCATCATCATTTTAGTCATCAGCTTCCATCTAAATCTGGCTCAATTTAGCAATTAAATAAATTGTAACCTTCATTTTCGTCCCTCATGCTATGTGTTTAACAAGCTAATGTAGTTAAGGCACCTGCAAACATATGATGCTTGCTGCACATGTAGACATATCGAGTGTCAGGATCCCTGTTTTTTCTGCTAATGCCGCAGGTCTTGTGCACTGAGGCCTTCTGTTTTCTGGTTCAGCCGTCTTTTAAAACTGTAACTCTGGGTTCTTTGCTTTATTGGTAGTGGATCCTACAACACAGCAGCTTTAGGGCATTTTTCACTTTTAAGGAAAAAGACCTAATTGTCAGAGAGGGGGTCTTCACCTAATACAAAGTCAGTGCAACAAGATTAATTCCCCCACCCCACCCCCTTGTGTGCGTGGCCTAAATGTACATTGTCTCCATGTTGTCAAGGGGTTGACTGAATATATTAAACAGCAAGAGAGCTTAATTTGAACCTCAGTTATACTATTTTAAGCAAACTATCTTGAATTGCAATAACACTGTGAAGTCACTTAGCTCGTTTGTGTTTGAGGCCGGTGTAGTTTTGTATCTAATAGTTGACCCTCTGTTTCTGTGTGACAATCAGGAGCTGACCTCTGGCTCAGACAGTGACATGAGCCTGTCCTCAATGATCTTCCCAAACAATAGCAGTGGCTCAGATGATTCAGTGGGAGAAGGAGACCCAGGCGTGGGACTGGACCACTCTGTGGTCCTCCTGGAGCCTAATGAGCTCCAAGTAGAAGACAAACTACACCGTGGGAATGTCTGGAGACTCTACTTTGGTAGCTCCTATGAGTCAGAGTCGGGGAATTCACCAATTTCAGGACTGGTGAGAAGTGCTTCAATATACCCGTTTGTTTTCTTTTTAAATATGTTATTCATGTTTTGGTATAATACACCGACTGGCCACATTAATAGTCACACCTGTACAATTGTATACACTTCAGTGCAACACTTCCTCCTTAACACCTGTGTTTAAGAAGTTTTTAGTGAAATTGTCATAAATGTATAAATTCAGTTATATGTTTATTATTGATGTAGTCCAGTATAACACCACCTTTAACTATGACCTCAATCATAAACATATAATAAATACATTTGACAGGTTAACCAAAAACTAAAACATTTTGAACTTCATAAAGACGGGTGTTAAGGTGGAATTGTTGCATTGAAGTGCATAGAGGTGTGACTATTAATGTGGCCGGGAAGTGTAGCAGTTGACAGATGGCTCAAGCGTTTGGGAAATATGCTTTTTATGCCGTTGTCTTCAATTAAGATCAATATCATTCTCATGTCTGTTCATTAATTATGGACCTGGAGCTGAGATTTGTTTAGCTTAGCATAATGACTGGAAGCACTGTGAAACAGTTTTATTAGTAGCTCTGAAACAATGGAGGAGGATTTAAACTACATTACTTTTAGCTAGGTGAGATGTACCTAATAAACTGCCCACTGAGTGTACACCTAGGTATACACATCGTCACAGGCCTCTGGAATTATGTCACCTCAAATGCAGTAGTGCAGTTCAGTGGTTGAGAAATAAACAGTCATTACTCACAATTTCTGTGTCTCTGTTTTCTCTCTTTTGCGAACCTTGACAGAATTCTCAGTGCATCTCTGGACCCAACTCCATGACCCATGACTGTACAGAGGCATGGGTTCGTGACCCCGGCGGCTCTCTTCGTCCTGCATATATGTCCTCCCTCCAGAGTGGATATGAAGAGCTAAGCCCGGAGCAGCTGGATCGCCTACAGCAAGACATCAATAACATAAAGAAGAACTACATGAAAGCCAATGTAAGTCCATATAGCTCTGTTCAATACTCAGATCTAATCAACTAAGTGATCAGTTCCATTCCAAATAATGCTCTTAAAGGTTAGGTTAGGCATTTAGTTGTGATGGTTAAAGTAAAGGGCTGCATTATGTCAGTGGGTGTTTCTCAAGCCTCTTATGGTCATTCCAGTTGACTGAAGATGCTCCAAGTCTCTTATAATGGCTCTGAGGAGTTGGGGGGTGGGATGGGGGTGGGGTGCTGAAGGACCCCCCTTTTTCAGAAATTGATTGGATGCCTCAGATGAGGGATAGAAGGAAAGGACATCTCAAGTCGTTAATAATGGGTTTCCTCAAGTCCTCTCTCCTCACATGTTTTCCAAGCATTTTATTTCCCCTGCATCTTCCATGGGCAGGACTAAGACAAGGAAAACACAAGTGAGGGAAGCAGCTGTGCTCATAAGAGACTTGAGAAACATCCAGTGAGTGTTCTCACAAAGATAGCTGCACAAATGTTCGTGTGTGGCCTAGTATTACTTATGTTGCGGGGACTTGACATCCTTATGTGGTCAAAAAGCAAGGCCCCAAAATCTAAATCAATACACCTTAGAGTAATGACTTAGTTTAAGGTAGGGTGAGGGTAAGGTGTTAGGCAAGTAGTGATTATAGTTAAGGGTAAATCTCCATGAAATGAATCTAAGTGTATATAATGTTCCCTTAACTGATGGAAATGTGTTTGTGTGTGTGCGCGCGCGCAGGAGGAATGTGTCCGGGTACATTCAGCCTCCAGCCAGCCGGGGCTGCTGCTGTGTCGTGCTCACATGAACTCCGCCCTGGCTGTTACCAAACCATCTCTCAGCAAGTCCGACTGGGACAGATACACAAAGCTGTGAGTATCCGAACACCAGAGTGGAGCACACTGCAACAGTCACAGCAGTGCAAATTATGCTAATATTGATAGATAGATAAAACTAGAGTGACAAAAACTGTTGGCTCTACAAGAAATAAAGAAATATTTCATAGTAGTCCATTTATTTTAGAAAAAAAAAAGTTTAAAAGGTTGAATTAACTATGAAATTTAGCAAACATATTATGACCAATTTAAAGCCTCGCCTTCAGTAAGATAGGAAATGTTCGCCAAGTATCTGCAATAAAAGACAGAGAAAGAATCAATATTATAATCTTTCTCAGAGTATTCAGCATGTTTTCTTAAAGTCTGAATTACCCCGCTGGGTATTTTGTGAATTCATTAGAATTATAGTAGAACTGCAGTAGAGAAATTGTACCATAAACTGTACATAGCTGCTGACTTATTTCCTCATGTGTCGAATGAATGAATAAATGATCTTACTGGAGAATTGTTACACAAAGAAATTCTGTAAATCCTTCCTTGTGTTACATCAGTCATTTGAATGAGGCTGTTGGTATTTTATGGTGACCTTGAAAATATTTATTTATTTGTTTGTTTTTTTATTTTAGGTACGAAGGCTTCCGCAGTTCAGATGGGAAATCTCCTCATTTAGTCACATTCAAACCTGGACAACGTGTGACTTTAGCCTGATCAAACACATCAGCCTGACTCAACTAACTCAATATTTTGATGTTTATAACAAAAGGTGGTGATGTATTGATAGGTAATTTAACAATCAATGGAGTCTGTTTGAGATTTGAAAACAATATAAATGAACATAATGTTTGTATAAATTTTCTATTGACTTATTTAACTTCGAATGTAATTAGTGTACATATGTACTATACATAATGTCTGATTATAAAACATGTAATTGTTAGAATTAAAAGGGAACACTTTCTACACGTCTTCATTATTTGAGTAGCTGGCACAACCACTTGTGTTAAGTACTCTGGTTAAAGTTGACTGGAGCTGTGGCAGTTCAATGAGTTCACTAAGCGTGTAATTAATGAGAATAATTAAGGTTTAAGTTAATCCACTGTAAGAGGTGCAGCATTACAGAGAGTCACGGAGATGTCAGTCAAGCACAGTCTTCCCAGTAAACTGAAGTTAACGCCTGTGTGCTGGGACATAAATGACTCAAAAGTCATATTTGCAATGAATTTATTGATGTCTAGACCCTCTAATTTTATTATACGCTACAGCTTTTTTGCTGCTGCTGTGTTAATTTATTAATAAGCTCTCTAGTCTAATGGGCACTAATTCATGATGAAGCTTTATAAACACACTCTTTAATCTTTTTTTTTTTTTTTATTGGCTTCACATGCAAGTTTAGAGGATTTACTCTTAAGTAATAAAACTAGAAGGACCAGTAAAGTTAACAGTGACTGTGCTTAATAAGTGGGGAAAAGGTTTAATTTATTAACTAACACAAATCATTAATGTATCATAATCCCAATTCCTAGCAGAGCCAATGTCAGTTGCAGTGTTTGTCAGCTGTAAGAGGTCCATGAACATTTTTTGCAAATTTCTGTCATACTGTCCAGCAATATAATTCACTGTTTAATTTAAAAATATATAAATACAATTATTTTAAAATCTTGCATAATATTGAATATTATGCTACAATGCTGTCAGTGGAATTTTATGGCTTTCAAAACACTTTTACTTAAAGAAAAGCTGTTTAACTTTTTTTTTTGGCCAGAGTGCACATTGGATAAGTAGCAATGGGCAGATCATCAGTATAGAAGAGGAGCTGTGCACAGAGGGAGATGTCTTTCAGAAGGTTTCGAGCAGGAAGACAGACAAAGTCACTGTGTAGAAGTTGAAAATTTCCACACCTCTTGAGTTACTGTCCATTTTTCTGCAATTCACTCTTGTGCTGTGTTCATCATTACTTGGAGAGTCAACCTATGGTGGAACAAGAAAAATAAATGCAAAATCGCCATGAGAATGCAGATACTGTAGCAGTGGATGAGATTGATGCAGGTGTAAATGGACTGTATTTATATAGCGCTTTTTTCCAAAGCGCTTTTACAGGGAGATCATACCACCATTCACCCATTCACACACACATTCACACACCGATGACGACAGCTGCCACACAACGGCGCTAATCAAGCCACCGGGAGCAATTCGGGGTTCAGTGTCTTGCTCAGGGACACTTAGGCATGCGGGGAGACCGGGAGTCGAACCACCAACTTGCTGGTCAGGAGACGACTGCCCTACCACATGAGCCACAGCCATGGTTTGTTGTAAGACGAGTTGCAGAACAAACAACTTTTAAATAGTATTTGTTATGTGTTTGTCAGGAAAAGTAAACTGCTCCTAACATTCAGTACTATCCTATGTTGACTAAAAATAATGGGACGGATACATCGCTTGGTTCTGATTCCTTAGATATAAACTACATTTGACAATGTGTGATAAACTGTGTTGCTAGTCTTGGCAAAGCAGCTGAAAACTGTAACTTCTTACATTTATCTCTCTGTAGAGTATTTACTTGAAACCCCTCTTTATTCATACTGAGTATTTAATAAATAAATGGTAGGAATAAGCCACAGTTTTGTCCAAAAGCCTAAAACATGTCTTGTAACTTTTCTTTTTCCTGTTTCTTGTCCTCAGCACACAGTAAGGCTGCCCTTTAGTGGTGGCACACAACATTACGCCAGTCATAACAGGTGTGACCCATTACTGTCTGTTAGTCAAATGAATAGCAATTTAATGGTACAAATAACAATGTATGTACATGGTCACAATTTTTTGTGAGCATGTGTAGGAAAGATTTGTATGTAAAATGTTTTTGAACGTGAATAAAATCTGTAAACAAATGTTACACAAAGACAAGTCTGGCAAGTCAGCGAAATATACCTAAATTACTAAAAGTAAAAGTAGTCACTGTGCAGAATAATAATGGAGTTCACTTCACGTTGATGTTTATTATTTGGTTATAATTTCTGGCGCATTATTGTCTTCATCATTTTAACGTTGTAGCTTGTGAAGGCAGGGATAATTTTAACTGTTAAAATTTGAACTTCTGGTGAGTAGTGTAAATTTCTCAGTATAAACAGGCAGTAAACAATGCAGACAGACAAAGGAATGCTCATTGAGATGAGATAATAGGAATAAAGAAATAAAAATAGAGTACTTAAAAATAGAGACCTGGGCAAGGGGCAAGTAAACAGGAAACCAGCATAAGGCTGTGTAATAACCAAATAAGCAGTATTAACAAGCAACAAACAGTGCATACAATGCAAAATAAGCAGTATAGACAGGCAGTAAACAATGCAGACAGACAAAAAAAAACAAAAACAAAAAAAAACCACATGGAAATAATTAATGGGAACACGCCTGGCTCGCCTTCAGCCCGAAAGGCTTCTTGCTAGCAGATTTTTGCTAAGGTTACACACTAACATTAAATTCTCGCTAACACTAGATAAAGTAGCCTACATGAACTCCAAAGTATACATTTACTCAACTGCTTCACCTCAAAGTAACAGCTAAGCATCTGCATATACACAGAACACTGCACATTAAAATTAATTGCAAAAGATCTACAGTAAGTCAACCTCATGAGCCATGGGCGTCCATGACCCTGCCGCCCCTTCACCGTCTGTCCTTCCTTAGATGCTGTTGGCTTGCTGCCTTTTATACCCCACCCACTGTTAGGTGGATGTAATGAGCTCATCAGTGTTATTCACTTCACTTGTGAATGTAATGTCCATAATCACAATAGAAATCCCTAAAAACTCCATTAAGTAAGAATGATGAAACACCATTTCAAAATAATCACTTAAGTTTTAATATTTCTTGAATGATTTCACAAATTGTCTGTGCAAGTATATATTTTACATTATGTATTCATATGTATAATTAATTGCAATGTTTATTTTTATTTATTATTATTATTATTATTGAACACTGGGTTTCCATAAAAGGCTTTAAATCTGAACTGTCCTCACCTGTAAACCAAGTGTTTAGGTACTTCCATATTGATACAGACCTGTGCTATGAGCTACTCATAATGGCTATAAGTAAGCAGCTACAGTAGTTTTCCTTTCAGCAAACAGCACTGAAGTGTATGAATGTAGCACTGAACATTTTCACAGTATAAAATCCAGACAGAAAGTATGTCAAACTTTGGTTCAATTTGAGTTCACTTTCATTATTCTCCAGTCTCTTTGGAGTGCAGTACAGCCAGTGAACCTCCCTCTCCACCCACTCTATCGCTGGATATACTGTAGTCCCTAGGGGGTGCAGTATATTCTGAGTGTTATGCTTGAAAAGAAAGAAGCATAACTCAGTCTTGGCACTGTTGATCTGTTAGAGATGCGCAACAACAACACATAAAACAGACACTGGATTAGAACTGTTTACATCAGGAAGGGCTGAAGGTGGAGGAAAGCTGAAGTGTTGGTAAGAGCTGATGGTTATTGCAGTCCCACAGACAAGCACCCGGAGCAGTGAGGGTTTAGAATGTTTCTTGTGCTTCTATGCTGTTAGGAACATCGAGAAAGTGTCCAAAGTCCACACCACTGAGCTAGCCCGTGGGCCCGGTATGCACACATTTGGAACTTTTACTGGGTTCTGTTTCTCAAGAGGGTGCTGCAGGGTGCTGGTCAGTCAGGGTATCCATCATGAGGAAACTTCCTGGCTGGACTCGTTCCCATAAGCTGCCACCTCCAACTTGTGCCTGAGGACTGTTTAGTAATAATTGTTTGTATACTACAACTATGATTGGCGTGGAATTGGTTGATTGGCGTGGAATTGGATCAAAAGTTATTTGACACAGAGGCCTCAATTTGTGAAGTTGGGTGAATACCAATCGAGTGAGTTGGATATTGTATGTGGAGTGCCTCAGGGCTCTGTTTTGGGACCTAAATTATTTATATTATACATCAACAATATATGTAAGGTTTCTGATATTGTCAAAGTGGTTTTGTTTGCTGATGACACTACCATGTGGGCATCCGATGAAAACCTACAGCAACTCTCGGGAAGGGTTTCAGAGGAATTTGTGAAGATAAAGAAATGGTGTGACAGTAATTTACTTTCTTTGAATTTGGATAAAACTAAATATATGGTATTTGGGAATCGCAGACCACATAATGAACTTCAATTAAGAATTGGGGGTGTTAACATCGAATGAGTATATGAAATCAAATTTCTGGGTGTCATGGTTGATGATAGATTCTCCTGGAAATCTCATGTCAGATATGTTCAGCATAAAATAGCTAAAAACATATCGATACTAGCAAGGGTTAGACATATGCTGGACGTGAAAGCACTTCCCATTTTGTATTCTTCATTGATTTTACCATACTTGGAGTATGGCGTTGAAAACTGGG